TGCCCACGCTGCAGGGGAACGTTGTGTTTCCATCCTCTTCATTGCCTGGCTGAAGGCCACCTGGGCACGCAGCAAGGGGACAGGGACACGCGGGGACCCCGTGGTCACGTCTCAGTCCGCAGGTGCCGGGTGTATTCGGCGGAAGGAGGGTGCGTGTCTGGGTAACACGGGCTCTGCTCCTGCAGCTGCAGCTTCTTCACCGAGTTTATACTCCGAGGAGATTTCTCTGTTTTCTCTTTAAATACTAGAAGTAATTAGAGGCTGCTTATGAGTAATCACTTGGACTAAACAGTCTGGTTTCATTTAAAGTGGTCAGCATGAAACGCCTCCTGATTTATTAGGGAAAAATAATTTAAAAGGACTCCTTCTCCGTCAGCCTTGCAGGAGCCCTGCCGGGGAAGAGGGCAGCGGTGGGGCTAAACCCCACCTTTCCTCACCCCACGCCTGGGATTTGCTATAAAAACATCCCTTGGGAAAGAGGCAGCAAATATTGCCTCCCATCTGCAGGAAGGGAAGATGAAAGAGGCGCTGGGTCTGTTGCAAACAAGGCAGAGAGGAGCTTGAAGGGGAACAGATCACCCCGCACTTCCCTACGTCCCCAAAGGATCCTGCGAGCGAATCCGCATCCTTGCTACCCATTCCCAGGCCCAACCTGGAAAGCCTAAAGCCAACGTTAACGACCGAGCTGCAGCGCGCTGAATTTTACAGTCCTCGGTGAAAACTGTGACAGTAAATCTGCCTCTGGCTCCAGGCGTTAAGTTGCCGTCAATACCACAAAAATCCCTGCAAATTTCTTGTTGACTTTGGCGGTGGGAGCGCCGCGCTCGGGTGCAGCACGCGGCGTTAACGGCAGGGAGATTTCCGAGGCCTTGGACGCCGTGGTGCTGGTTTGGATGAGCCTTGGTGGGGAGAGGATGGAAGGAACAGATTCCGCCCGGGGTGTTCAGCACATTTTATCAGCTTATCCGAGACGTAGGCAGATGAAACGGTGCAAGTCAGGCAGGGCGAGAAGCTATTTCCCGACAGGGTGCAGCAGGCGCGAGGAGATAGGAGGAGCGTGGGAATTACCAGCGAGGGGAAGTTTGGCAGCTCGGATCGTCCAAGCCCGGGAGCTGCAGCCAGGGAAGGAGGCCCGCGGGCGGGAAAGGCGCCGTGGGCAAAATCCCGTGGGCTTTGGGCTGCAACACCTCCGATTTGCCCCGTTTCCCGCACCGTTCCCCGCCTGCGGAGGATGCTGCCGCATGGGAGCATCCCGGCGTGCCGGGGAGACGCGGAGCGGAGGAGCTGGGCCCGGCTGACCCGTTCCGGGGTTTTCTGCGCGCGCCCTCGTCCCCGGTCACCTAGCAACTGTGCATCTTGTTGCACGGCGGGATTAACCGAACTGTGTTTAGCAGGGCCGCGCACCCCGCCTGGCCGCTCGCCCGCTCGGGGCTGCCGGCTCTGCCGTCGGACGGTCACTCACCGCGGGACTTGAGGGACTAACTGTGAGGAGCATCAATGCGTTTGCACTGCACCCTCCCCAAATCCACCCGCAATCCCAGGCGCAGGCCGAGTACGGACCTCTGCAGTATTGATATAGGTACTCGAAGCCTCCCGACAACCCGTCTGCGAGCTGTGACGGAGCGCAGGAAACCCTCGATGGCAAAGGACGGGCTCACGCCGCGGACGGGTCCGTTGCTCCGGATCCCGAAGCGCGTTTATCCGCCGGATCCCGCGCTGGGCCTTGCTCCGAGCCGGGAGGCCCCGTGCACACGCGTTGGCTCCGCTCCAGCTCCCGGCACCGGCTCGCGCTTTGCGAGGAGGGCAGGGATTCCTGCGCCGGCTCCCTCTTCAAGGGGCCCGTTCCCCTCTTGTCCTCCCAGAAAGCAGCTCTGGCAGCACCGGGTAGTTCTGCTTCCAGCTCCCAAATCACCCAGAGGTGATTTGCTCTTCTGAAAATCAGGCAGGAGGAACCACTTCTAATCCCAACTGGAAGCTCAAGTTTAGAAAGGAGGTCTGGCAAAAGCAGAAATAACTCCTGGTTTTTGGAATACATGTGGTTCTGAAAGGGAGGTGTTTTAATAAACGTGTTCTGGAAAACATACGTGAGGGCTCTCCACGTTGCTCAGCTAGCAGATGAAGCCTTTTCCCCTTAAATCCCCTCAGAAAGTGGCTGCTTTGGAGCTCATTTCACCTCCAGTCGCCGAGGCTGTGCGGATGCGTTCGCTTTATTCCCTTCACCGGCTGCCTCCCCACGGCAGCACCACTGGGCCGAAAAGCCCCCCGCATCCTCATCTTCATCCTCATCCTCATCCTCATCCTCATCCTCATCCTCATCCTCATCCTCATCCTCATCCTCATCCTGCAGCTCCCCAGGGCAGGTGCTGGGGAAAACGCCAAAGAGGAGGAGACCTCTGTTCCCATCTGATGCCCACATCTTCCATGGTCACACCATACCCGCTCACAATC